GGCAGGGGGTTCAACACTTAGCTTGGCAGTAAATGAGTTAATTAATTAATCAAAATTGATAAATTATACTTTTGCATGTTTATACTTTATATGCTTAATAACTAACATGCAAGCATTATAACTTTGCAAATTGTAGTTCATGTAACGCTGTGGTTTTGAGATTCACCCACACACATGGACAGCAGTAGTGGTTATTACATACAGAAGGCAAGGCGACCTTGTCAGTCAGAAGGCTTGATTTAGTCACTTAAGATCCCTGAGCCATTTATAGATCCAGACAGTCTTTTTACTTGAGAGTGGCTGCGGAGGCCAAGCGCTGGTCTGTCCTACATGCCCATGCTGGTGCAGCACGAGGGGCTGGTGGGCTGCAGTACAAGTTACAGAGCATGTCACTAGGACGCAATTCTGGGATACAGCTAAGTGGTTTTGTAGCTGACAGTTACACCTCATGCTGCACTAGCTCCTGGGAAATGGCACAGACCTGCTCATGGTATTACCTTGTGGAAGAGAAGAGGCAAATGGGAGTGTACCCTCAGCCCCAAGCTACTCACCTTCTTTCCACAAGAGAGGGCCACAATATGCTACAGGATTCAGATGAGCTGTGACCCCAGCCCATGAGGCCTGTGTGGAGCCTGCAAGCGTTCCTGGATAGAGCAATTTAGCCATTCTCAACAGTGCCTTGCTAATTTTCATCACTATGCCTTGGCATGATATTCTGTAAATTTATGCTGTTTATCAGTTTAATGCTGTTCCATATCTGGGTTGCTATAATGTTTTTGTTTGTTCATTTATTTGATATTCTAAACAAAGCTATACAAAATGCTCTTACATTTTAAAAGTATAGTATTTATTTGTTTATTTCCTCGTGTGTGTGAGTGTGTGTGTGTGTGTGTGTGTGTGCATGTGTGTGAGTGTGTGTGTGTATAAAAAGACATGTGTACTACGGAATGTGTGAAAAGATGAGATGGAGTCAGTTTTCACTACCATGTGCAAGTATCAAACTCAACTCATCCGGTTTAGTGGCAAGTGCATTTATCTGCTGAACCATCTTACCAGCCTCATGCCCATCTTGTACTTATTTCCTGGTGCAGACATGTAAGGACTGTTTTAGGGACTGTACTCAGCCATGGGATTGTTTGGTCTAGGACATAGGCATCTCAAAGTTTGTAAGTGATGGTCCTGAATTTCTTGTATAAATTCTCACTGACTCTCAATTCATAACAGCGACTTCTGCTGCTCTATATTGTCACTTCACTGGGCATTTGGAGCCTTCATTTTTTTTGAAAACCTCTTGCTATGCCTTATTATGATTCAAATCTGTATATCTCAGGCAATCGGTAAGTAAAACATTTTTAATGTTTAAATGGCATTTATGTTTACTTCTCTGAAAGGTTATATAAGAATATTTTTTCTTTTCTATAGAATTTGTGTTATTCTTGTTTACTTGTAGGAGTTATTCACACATTTCAGGTTCTAAGTTTTGATTGATAGTGAGAGTAAAAATGCTGATTGTACATTTTTGGTTGGTTTCATTCCATCATTCCTTCTATCCTAATCTTGATGTAGTTACATGGCTATTATATTACAGAGCAAATATATTTCTTATATGGCTGTTGTGGGCATTAATATTTACTATTGATATATCTTTTAGTTAAGCAGTGGTTAGTCCTAAACCAGCTGTATACCCAAATCACCACACAGAGACTGGGATTTATTTAATTAATCTAGAGCACAATGCTGGGCAATAGTTATTTTGTCCTAAGCCTCCAAGCCCATATAGTTTCCTACTATTCAGATTTCACCCATTATACTTGCTTTTAGCCATATCTTAGGTCCAGTCCATCTCTCCATGTGGTTCTAAGACCTCTCCTGCGATTCTCTCTCCTCCTCCCTTTCCGGACCAGGATGTCCCACCCTATCCTCTCCACTGCACAACACTGTGGCTGGTTGTTTAATTGACAATATAGATAACAAATGGTGGCCTGTTACACAGACTTGAGACAGGTGATGCTTAGAATAAGCATCACAAGGCAATGTCCGAAAAGAAACCAGATAGTGGGGCAGAGAAATCAGCATTTGGATGAACAAGGACAACCTGGATACATTCCACAAGAACATTATACCAGCATATGGTTTGTCTTCTAGTTGTCCCTTCCAGGATGGTACCCCATGAGAGGAAAAGCAAGCAGATGGACTCACTTTCTTCCTTCTCTCTCTGAGACCATCTTTCTCTCTTCTACTTCATTGTTTTTCTTCCCTGCCTAGAAATTCGATGCCTGTGGCAGGCTTACATTGTAGAGCCATAACCTCACCCACTGGGTGTAAATGTAGCCGAGAATGGTGTGAGGTTGGCAACGAATAGAGTGTTTCAGCCGTAAGAGAAAAGTGATCACCGTAAGAAAGCAAATGTGATGAGGTGTAAACTCTGAGAAATAGTCACAACATCTAAGGTGACCGTAGACACAAACTAAGTTGTGTTAACCAGTCTTTCATCTCATTCAGAAACTACTGGCCTGAAATATAAAGATATTGGGATGTTTAACAATCCTGTCCAGATATAGAAAGTATGGAATTCCCAGAGGACAATTCATTCTGTAAACGCTGAAAAAACTTGCCAAGATTGATTGTCAAAAAAGCAATATGAAGAGCTGGAGCCAGCCAGTTCTCTCCTAAGACCAACATCTCACTGAGGATTAAGAATCAGCTTCCTTTTGGAGATACTAACACAAATGACAAAGGGATGCACACGCACTGGCCCTAGGAACTCAATGCATCATGATACAACTTGTCATATGCAATATTCACACTTAAGAATCACACAACTGAGTCACAACAGTCTATACATGCAATGTTAGTGTGTGTGTTCATATCCACACCAGTGCACACTTTCTAGCAGGTAGACTCTGAGACAACCTTCTTAGTCTTCTGCTTGGTTATCTAACAGAAAGATCCAAAGGACACAGGAATAAATGCCCATAGTACATTACATTTGGATTGCCCTTCAGTTTTTAACTGCATTGAATAGAACTCATCCCCTCAGTATGTGTGTGCTGAGTTTCTTGACTATAACCTAAGAATATCCAGATAGACAAGGTGTTTTGGAGGCCTGAAACTCATTCTTGGCTTTTTAACCAATGAACATAATGATAACGGTTAGTAGTTATTGAACATGTGTTCTAAGCACTCTCATGTTGTAGATGGAGTACTCATTTAGAACCCGTGTCACATATCGCTTACACCATTATCATTTATCTTGGAATTACAGAAGAGGGAGGCTCAGAGAGGCTACAGAATCAGTTTGTTAAGGTTACCTCATATGTGCGTCAGGAATAAAATTTCAGCTCAGCTGTATCTGGTTCATCCCAGTTAATTGACTTTCTTGGGGTTGGACAAATGGCCCAGCAGTTAAGAACACACACTTGAAGAAGGCTGGAGTTCAGATCCCAGCACCCACATCAGGCGGCTCAAAACTCAAAGAGTAGATGCAGGGGATTTGGTTCTCTTTTCTGAAATCCGTGGGCATCTGTCCTCTCACGTGCACATCCCTTTAATGTATACGCACACATGCACAAGGGCACACACGTAATCAAAACTAAAACACATCTTTCAAAAAAATTCTTTTTTGCGCATTGTAAAACAGTCCTTTTTGAAGTTCCCCTGCCCTGATTTGATTCTGCCAAGCATGTCCAGCATGCAGTCCACATGTAGCTGAGGATAGCTATAAATCTGAACTAACACAAAACTGTAAATCTGCTTAAAAGTCTTATGAGATACTTTTCCTTTTTTTTTGTAACTCTGTTGTACAGTTTTCAAGTGTGAACTTTGTTGATGTCAATTTTGTGTTGCAACATCAAAAAGTTAGACATGCTCTTAATCTTATGAGAATTTAATGAGTAAAAGTTATTCGTGATTGTGTTTTCACTAGACAAGATTTCATTTGGTAGCACAGAAAACCCTACCTTGCATGAACAGTGACAGACAACATGACTGTATTCTTGTGAAAAATACAGCCAAGAGAATGCCATCTCTCAAGAGGCCCAACCTTGAAAGAAGTACCTGCTCATGAACTGCAAACTGTGGGAAAGGAAAATTGTACCTTGACTTCATTATCACTGTCTCCTACAGCACTATCTATTGGATGAATCAGAGGTAATGGGGTCAACATAGGTTGGCCTCTAGAACACATAGTATCATGCAAAAAGCAGAGGAATTAGTTGGAGCGATAATCAGAAGTCAGTTCGTAACAGAAATGTGCTTGAAAGGAAAATTATATTCATAGAAGACAGAAAGGAATGAATGGACTTGCATAAGTAGGCACTGATCAGAACAGGTTAAGTGGAAGAGCTTGCTGATAGAGAAGGGTATTTAATTTCAAAAACAGGCTTTCCAATAATTGCCCCTCTGGAATAGCTTTAAACATTGGAAACACATACCCACCTCTATAAAATGATTTGGGGAAAACTGTACTGATGAAAGCAATGTGAGTGGCTAAGATGACTTTGAAGGGCCCTTGTAATTTGAGGATTCAGTGTTCCAGGAGCAATGGAAATCAGGGAATCGGACCTCCTGCAAAATATTCACAACTCTTTGAAATGGAAATTAGGCTGTTCCAATTTCAGAATCAAATTAAAGAGAGTATTCAGGGTGTTAGCAGGCAGTGCTTGAGCCTGTTTGAAGCAGCCTATAAAGAAGGGAAGCGTGCTTTTCCCTAGATGAAGCAGGATCTCTCTCAGCCTGTTTCCATCTTTACTTTTAGCACCTGCTGGCTTGGAGTGGTGTCGCGCAAGCAATCAGACGGTGGGTGGCTGTGCCAAGAGCCTGACCTCCCCATGTCTGCTACCCCTCCCCCCACAGCCCATGACAGCCTGTCCTGATATAGATGGACCTGGGACTGGTTTAAAATGACAGTCTCAAGTTCTTTGAGGAAGAGAAGACTAATTCAAAGCAACAGCCAGACGAGCTTCCTTTCTCTGCAGGAATCATTATTATACCCCTTCACCATGGCCCACCTGGGAGCCCATTTTGCCTTTAGATCCCGCTGGCAGAAGACTGATGATGAACTCTGTCGACATAGCATGTCCTTTATCCTTCACAAAGCCATCCGCAATGACTTCTTTCAGAGCTATCTCTACCTGCTGGAAAAAATTCCCCTGGGTAAGTGAGCCAGAGCTGCTCAACAAGGGACAAAAAGGGACTGGATAGGCTGTGTGAGAGAGGTTAGACACGGGTGCTTTTCAGCTAAGGGTGAATCCAGACAATGTCAGCGGGTGAAATGCTTCAATGACATTCTTCTATTGAGAGGGTAATAGCAAGTGCTGCCTGGCAAGGCCGAATGCTATTTTAGGGTTTTCGTGCCCCCTTAGGCATAGTGACTTGCTGTTCCAGGTGTGAGCGTGGTGACTATGAGGCTTAAAGAAACTCAATTCTTGGGTTGTCAGTGTTGTGTTTTCTAATTGCTCAAGGTGGAAAATGAGGTAACTTGGATTTGTGAATATTGATGGAATACTATGCTAAGCAAAAAAAAAAAAAAAATTCTAAAACAAAGATCACATAAGAAGGTTCAAAATGTGCTTGGGACACACGTGCAATGTGTCTGGGTGGTGGTGATGGTGATGATGAGCCGTGCGTGTGTCCGTGTATATACATTCTGTTCTGGCTTCACTAAGTCGCAAGTATCATCAGAGACCCAAAGAAAGCTGATTTTAGCTTGGACTTTTGATAGCAAGAGGTAGTAGTCTGCCCTTCATTTTTGTTCCCCCCCCCTCCAGTTTCAGGGAAATGGGACAGAAGAACAAGGAAAAGCTTATCAGGTATGCTCATGGCATGCTTCCTCAACCTCTGTGAAAGTAGCACGTGTTGACACTCCCACCAGCACTAAAGAGGAAGAAATTTAGGATTAAAAAGTGAAGTGCTCCCTTCCTGCCTCTTTGATTTATATTTTCTCCCAGTGAAAACAAGAATGCTATTTCTCAGCCTTGGTCTGTTTGCATAAGGTTGTCTGAAAGCCTCATTGTGCACTTGATTTGGCCCCAGTTTCCTGCCGTGGAGAGAACTGCATAGTCCTTTGAGTTACATTAAAAAAAAAAAAAAAAAAACAAACCCCTGGATGTTAGCAGCTATCAAAGTCTTGTTTTAGAAATTTCCTTCTGAGGGTTCTTTAATTTCATCCTACAGATACATTTGCATTATATTTAAATGGCTTTCACATGAGAATGTTTCTCATCTGTAACTTTGATCCTCACAGCTACAACTCATGGGTAAATATCACTATTCTTCCTCTCAATTTCCCACTTCCTCCCTACAATTTTATTTTTGAAGTGAAACAGGTAAAATTCAGAGATGCGTTATCTAATTTAGAGAGAGCAAGCAGAAGGCTTCTTCCATCATGACGTGTATCTACTTTACCTTAAGAGAAAAAAACTGGGGTGATCGTTTGGAAGGTTATCAGTCCCTGGTGCCTCCAGGCCTGGGCAAATCACTGACTTCTGAGAGACTGCCTGTGGGCTACAGCTCTGAAAGAGTCTTGAGCAACACTGTGTGATATAGACTGGAGAAAGCAATCAATTATCACAGCGGAGAAGGGAGTCATTAGCGGGCAAATGACTGACAGACTTTAAAATGCTTACAGACAGAAAAGGGGCTAATTTCCGAACTCAGCTGTCAGTCAGTTAAGAACTAAACACTCTCTGCTCAAAATCAGATGAAAATTAATTAAAACAAGTAGTCTCCAGTTACATTTGGCCTTAATCTTTTTTTGTTGTTGTTGGTTTTTTTTTTTCTTTCTTTCTTTCTTTCTTTCTTTCTTTCTTTCTTTCTTTCTTTCTTTCTTTCTTTCTTTCTTTCTTTCTTTTTTTTTTTTTTCTGTTGTTGTTTTTCAAGACAGGGTTTCTCTTTGTAGCTCTGGCTGTCCAGGAACTCTTTCTGTAGACCAGGCTGGCCTTGAAATCACAGAGATCTGCCTGCTTCTGCCTCCCAAGTGCTGGGATTAAAGGTGTGTGCCACCACCCACCCAGCTATCTTTTCTTAATCTAATGTAATCATTCTGATTTTACAGTGTTTTTTTTTTTAATTTTATCAATTTTTCTCCTTCAAGATTGTGAGAATGGTTAATTAATGATTTGCAAAAGCTGATATTTTAAACAAAATAGTCTGTGGGAACCCCAACTAAAATGAAAGAAGTGCAACTTCTATTCTTGCCTCACCTGTGGCTTCTGAGAGACTTAGAGGGTTCCCTTAGTGAGTGCCACTGGAATAGAATCAGCCTACTCCAGGCTGAAGCTGGCTTTATCATCACTTAACTTTCCACAAATAACACTCCTTATTTTTTCTATTCTGAGAATTCAGCCCAAACATTAGTTTTCCCTGAGAATTAGTAATACTGAGAGTTGCATCTACAATACCTGCATGACAGTGTTAACTGAGGATAATATTAGTTGGTGTGGGTTAAGTTCTGCTGCAGTAACAAACGGATTCTGAGATAGCATTGGTTGCACCCATGTATTTACTCTTGATATCACTTTTGACATGCCGTATAGGCATATGGGTATCTAGGGTGATACGGTCTCCATCAGCCAGCTAACACTGCTCACCAAGGCAAAGGGAAGATGTAGTTAGAGGCCTGTTTGGTAACTTTAAAGACATTAGCCCAGATGACATGCTTTACATTTGTTTAGACTTCATTGCCTAGAAGGATAAGATTATGGGGGATGGTGAGTGTCATTAAGTGCTTCTGCTATGAGGAAAAACCTTTTTTGGGAGGGGGTGGACAGTTTCTGATCAAGCCAGACATAGTTAGTGCAAGAGGCAGTTACAGAATTACATTTGAATATGTATTATGATCTTAGACTGCTCAAACTAGAGAAGTGATCTTTTTGCCAGCTAAATGCTTATGAGCATCATTTTCCTCAAAATGGTGACAGGAGGACTAGAAGAATTTACATGCGGCATACATGTAAAAGCCATCAGTTTTCAGTGGGTGTTAGGTTTTTCCTGTACTTTCCCTATGCCAGGCCTTGTCTAATGTCAGCATTTAACATTTTTTAAGAGCAGGCTTTACCAAAGACGATAAACTTAATATGTGCAAGTTTTCAGGCTCTAGCGGATATTATGCCTTTTTGGTTGGAAATAAAACAGCCAGCAGAGACGTTACCTCCCAGCTCCAAAGAAGTGTTTTAGTGTTTGGCTTCCCTTGTCCTTGATGACTTTAAGGCTTCATAAAAATGAAAATAAAGTCTCTCTTTTGAAAACATTAGGGAACCCTTCCTGTAGGGTCTGCACAGAGGGCCTAGTTGTTTAGGGGTAATTATGGAAAGAACCATGGTTAACCTGTCTTTGATTCCTTCTTCCCTTTCGGCGTCTCTCCAATGTCTGTGTAAGGCAGCCAGTTTTATTTCAGCTCACTCTGTGGTAAGGTCTGTCATGGAGAACGCCCCCCAAACATCCTTGACTAGCTTCAGAGATGTGTGGAAATGTTAAGACCCAGCGAACTGAAGTATGAAATGGAAGATGAAGCAATGCTGTTTACCTTAAGAGATTTTTCAGGAAAAAGGGAAACAAGCTTGCTACTTTTAGTGTTTTGCATTTTTAAAAACTGCAGTTCATTGTCACATCGTCCTATTAGGTGTGTTCTTACTTTCCATAACTTTTCTTTGTGGATCTAGGCACAGAGGGGGCCCAGATGGGTGGGCCACTGAGTAGACCCATATAGCTAAGTGATATCAACCTGTAAATTCATCTGGAGATTTGGGTTGAGAAGTTTTCTAAAGATGGCTATTTATGAACAAACAAAAACTAGTATAAGAAAGAAAATGTTACTGTAAGTCTTTAGTTTATCGGTTCTTACAGAACCTGTAAACAGCTTAGTTGGAGACGTTCAGCTAAGTTAACCATCAGTAAATAGTCTAGCACGACTGTATTTTTCAGTACGTGAGAGTCAGTATGTGCCCGTCAGTTGTTTTATTCAGAGTCTGCACCTCCTGGCCATTGTTACTTAGAAATGGTTTTGGGTGACTTAGCAGAAGGACAAAAGCTTTGTTCAGAGGGACTTGTCTTTTGACCTGCTGTGATACTTCTTTTGCTAAGAAGTGCTGTTCTTTTACCGCTCAGCTAAAAATCGATCACTCTAACTCCAGTCTTCTAAAATATTAAGAGTCAGTCTTAATGTAGGATTAAAAGAAATAATACAAAAATACCGAGGATAAGGCCATGCATGTAAGAAATACCCAACAGGTACTGTTCCCCTTCTGTCTTTGAGCCCTTCTAGAAGAATCCGTCTTTGAGGATGAGCTAAGAGCTGTGGTTACTTATTTACCACCTCAGTTAAAGAGACAGTTACTAAAAGCATTTCCACTAAAACACTTAGAATTCCCGCAATGAATTCCCCACTTCCTTATTTCTCTTTATTTTCTTCTATATAACATGTATCTTACATTGTCAGTGAGATGCATTTCTTGCCTCTATATAGATTTGATTAACTACAGATAATATGGGTCAAGAAATAAAGTGCCACTTTGACCTAGCTTCTTTTGCAAACTCTCTCAGAATTTACAGAGACATTACAATTCTGTGACAGATTACCACAACATGAACTTCTGCAGTAAAAAGACATAGGCTAGTGACTAGTTTGCCTTATTTAATCCAACATGAACGATGCAGGAGCCATTGAGGGGGCAGAACTGGGATTGGCCATGACACCTCATATATCTTTCTTAGAGAAATATATGTCAGTTAGGTGAAAATGAGCACACAAGCCTGTGACCATAAAAGCCCACCTAGTGGAGCTGAAACCTGCTGAGCTCTGCACTGACTTGAAACCGAACTGTTTCTGATGTAATGAACCATGCGCACTTCTAGAAGAAGGCTTTTAATACACCCTACCAACTCGGTGACTTAAGCATGTGATGATGACTGTGGCTAATTTGCTGTTTTACCTGGATCAAAAAACACTGAGGAGGGTCAGTGAGATGGCTAGGTAGGTGAGTAAAGATAACAGTTGCCAAACCCAATGGCCTGAGTTTGATCCCTGGACCCTCTGATCTCCATACATGCACAATTTCTCTCTAACAAGAAAGAGAGAGAGAGAGAGAGAGAGAGAGAGAGAGAGAGAGAGAGGTCCATGGCTCATTCACATTCCCAGAATGGCACTCATTACCGAGAAGACTCTCAGAATTGTGATTTTCTAGCTTGACGTTTTGAGGAGTCCAGAAGAATTTAGAAGCATCATAATGTTGGAGTGATGGTGCATGAATTTTCCATCTCTGTTCAATTTGGAAGAATTTGTTTATCTACTTGGATTTTATATAAGACTTTACCTGGGGAACTGAGGGAAGTGGAAGGTCAGCAGTTCCTTTTGCTTTGGAGCATGAGGTCCATTCTTTCTCTATATTAACAGCTTTAAAAGATTTGTATTTTAAAATGAACATACATGTAAAACAGTTAATATACATTGAGGAGACCATATATAATACTGTTTGTCTCCAATCGATTTAGAAACTGACTCCTGAAAGCCTTTCAGAAAATCCATGGTCATTTGTGACGTAAACATTAGTTCTGGGGTCTACACGTTGGAAAATCTTGATGTAGCTCCACAATGAGGTGCATATTCTTAGTCATATGCTGTCTATTGCAGTTTTAACTTTTAGGATAAAAATTTGGGAGTGTGTTCTCATTGACTTTAGAGTTGAGTAGTGTCCTGCTTTAATGTTACAGTCTTTGCAGTTATCGGAAGAAAAGTAAACGTTCCTAGTGAAGGCTAAATACTATTTTTTTCTTTGACTTTTTCTATTTAAAATTATGCCATATTTTGGTATAATAATAGCAGTTTTGAGCCATTGTATATTTTACTTAGAGCTTTCAACTATATTTCATTTCTGGTGACTGAACCAAAACATGTCTGTTTTTGGAACTTCACCAACATGTCCTAGATTCTTGGCCACCTTCTCTATTGGCCAAACTCCAGCCTATAATTTCTCTTGCAGTATGAACAGCTTTATTCCAGATCTGATAAACTGTTGTCAGTTACAGATTTCTTTCCATTATTTTCATTCCTGTGTTAATGACATCATTTCTCTGCATACATTTTCTCTTGATTTTAACATTTGCTGGGTTGAAATACAGCTTCAAAATACTTCTGAAAAATAAGTCCATAGGAAATGAACACTTACAATCACAGTTAACTGGATGTTAAATTTAGCTTCAAAATAAATGGTCCTCAGAATACTAATGCCCCTAAACCATTGCTTTCAAGTGTTTCTTTTTCTTTCCAGATAACATTAGGGTCATTTTCTTATTCTTTCTGTTTTAAAAAAATTAAACTTATCTGTAAATCTGCATTTAAAAAAAAGTCTATCCTTCCTAGCACTGGTTAGATCTTACATTCTTTTTCAGCTCTAGGATTTTTTTTCTGTTGTTTCTTTAATAGTTCCCCACACATACACTTGTATTACTTTAGAAATTTTTAGCTTTCTAATTGGTTTGTTTGGAGACCTTATGAATTAAGGCATTTTTAAATTTAAATTTTAAAAATGTTTTGAGAATTTCATACATTAGTACTACATTTAAAATAGAGCATACCCATATTTATTACTTTAAAAGAAGTGAAAATAGAGATTGGCAGCAAGAATTAATGAGAAAATTTCCATAAAGCACTCATAGCTAGGAGTTAATGGTGTGATGAGGTTTATTTTTCTATTGTGCAAAATACTGTAAGACTTTTTTAATAAGATGGTAAGTCAGGTTTATGAAACTAGCCATTCAATTACAAATTCAAGTAACTGTGATTTATAGATAACATTCTTGAAAACTGTAGGGTTTAAATAGTTTTCTCAATGTTATATTGCATGCAAACCTCTGGGCTAGAACTCAAATGCAGATTTTCTGATTTAAAACCTAGAACCCCTACACAGATGTAGCCCATGGCAACTCAGCCTCTAAATGGGTTCCCCAGTAAGGGGAACAAGGACTGTCTCTGACATGAACTCAGTGGCTTTTGATCACCATCCCCTGAAGGGGAGACAGCCTTACCAGGCCGCAGAGGAAGACAATGCAGTCAGTCCTGATGAGACCTGATAGGCTAGGGTCAGATGGAAGGGGAGGAGGACCTCCCCTATCAGTGGACTAGGGGAGGGGCATTGGAGGAGAAGAGGAAGGGAGGGTGAGATTGGGAGGGGATGAAGGAGGGGGCTATATCTGAGACACAAAATGAATAAATTGTTATAGTAATTAAAAAAAAAAAAACCTGCACAGGTGTAGCCCATGGCAGTTCAGTGTCCAAGTGGGTTACATAGTAATGGGAAGAGGGACTGCCTCTGACATAATCTGATTGGCCTGCTCGTTAATCACTTCCCCCTGAGGGGGGAGCAGCCTTATCAGGCCACAGTAGAGGACAATGCAGCCACTTTTGATGAGAACTGATAGACTAAGATCAGAAAGAAGAGGAGAACCTCCCCTATCAGTGGACTTGGGGAGTGGCATGCATGCAGAAAGGGGAGGGAGGGTGGGATCGGGAGGGGAGGAGGGAGGGGCTTATGGGGGATACAAAATGAATAAAGTGTAATTAATATAAAAATTAAAAAAAAAACCAAAACCTGCCATGTAGCTTCTCTGGGTCCTCCTCTCTGATCCACTGTGCTGGTGACAGTGGAGAGACAGAGCTTAAGCCTTAATCAAGCTCTTGAAATAAATAAATAAATAAATAAATAAATAAATAAATAAATAAATAATAAATGAAAGTTCACTTATTTGTGTAAAAAAAAATTGTCAGTGCTGGGCATTGCCTTGCATGCCTTTAATCCCAGTACTTGGGAGGCAGAGACAGGCAGATCTCTGTGAGTTTGAGTCTAGCTGGTCTATATAGCAAGTTCCAAAACAGCCAAAGCCACATAGTGAGACCTTGTCTAAAATAAATTAAGCCAAATCAAATCAATGCCCTTTCTTCTACAGACAAACACATGGAGTTTAAGAAAGCCATACTTTTTTAAAATGAGCTTGTTACATCCTATACATTTTAATAACTTTTGATAATATTTTCTTTGCAGTAAAATTGTATGCTTTAACAAGCCAAGTCATTGATGGTGAAATGCAGTTTTATGCCAGAGCCAAACTTTTCTACCAAGAAGTACCTGCCACAGAAGAAGGCATGATGGGAAATTTCATTGAACTATCTAACCCAGATATCCAGGCCTCTCGTGAATTCCTTAGGAAATTTGTTGGGGTGAGTTTTCTGACTGTCACTTGAGGAGGGAAGGACAAGTCCTTGCAAACTCAGAGCTCGCATGGTCCTGTGACCTAGCTGAGAGGTCAGCCAGAAAGCCTATCTTAAGATGGTCAGAGTGATGGAGTTGAGCAAACCTGGGGCTTATCCCACTTGGCGCTGCACTGCCATGGCACCAGCTAATCTTGCGTGCTTGGGGGAAGGGGGACGAAAAGCGCAGACATTTCTGTGTGAGGATTACAGAGGCATCTCCTTCAGCAGCTCAGAGGCAAACAGCTGACACCCAGAAGACTGCTGAGAATCCGTGCCTCATAGAATTTCAGACTGATTTATGAAGTCTCTAACATACGAATGAAATGCATGCTTATGTTCAGTTTAAAACAAAAACAAGAATGATAGAATCTCTTTATGATTTTTATACATAGTTCATCTTGCTACTTGAAAATATGTGATTCTTTTGTTGCTCTGGATTTGATTAAACATCTTCCTTTTTGTGGAAGAAATTTCCAGGTCAGATAGAGACAAGATGGTAGAATGTAAAAGCCAAAATTCTATGACTTTTAAAGCATTGTGGTTCTTCTACCTAATGTATAAACACCTCCAGGCATGCTATTTACCTGTATTTAGCTTTAGTTTTCTAGTCCATAGCTCAAGAGTAACAACAGAATTTGTCTGACAGAAGAAAGCAAAGATGAAAGAAGACTAGAGATGTTGAACACTTGCTTTGGTGAACAAAATGAACATAACATAGTGGATATTAGTAATAATACCATGATGTCTTATCATATATTCATCTCATATCATAAACTTTATCTAGTTTTCATACTATCTTAAGCCAGACAATAAAGCTTCTGTTGATCTTATTCAAGATAAATCTCCTAATTGCAAGCAAAATTTGTTGCAATTCAAAACAATGTCATTTGATTAAAATGCGGGTACTGTTTTATTTCGATAAAGGAAGTATTATCAACATTAAGTTTTAGAATTGAGCTGTCGACTTACTCAGAAGGGAAACATGAAGACCATCCTTGGTGTTGAGGTGAAGTTCTGTTCATTATAAGCTTCTTGCAGCACCCAGGATCTGAGTCATGAGTCTGGCTAAGTCATGCGGTCAGCATGAGATGTCTACCAGACCAAATGTCTATCCGATGTAATTTACAGCCACAAAGGTCTGGAGCATGTAGGGTTTGTTGCCATGGATGTTTACATGTCAGAGTAATCTGCAACATTTCTAAACTAGTATCAATGGCTGATTTCATGGTATGCTTATTATAAGTAGCTCAGTTATTTTGCTAAGCCTTCTAGGAACACTTTTTACTCTTGACAATTCTTAAAGGTAAGAACTGTTGTCAGTTCTCTTTTTATAGTTGTGGAAACTGAGGCTCAAAGGGATGAAATAAATCATTAAGATTACACACACTGAGATATTAGTCCAGCCAGGTCAGTCTTATACCAAATTCCTTACTCTCAACCACAACATTTTTCCCCATTTGTTTCATGAAGAAGAAAAATTCCTTTTCTTTCCCTTTTTTTTTCTTTTGCTCATAGACTATAGATCTCAACTCTATTCTGGTCTTTGCCTCATGGTGAGGCTGACTTTGATCCCAAGGCATTTCAGAAGCCTAGCTAGTAATCCAGCTGTCTTGTCACTCCGTGAGGAATGCCAAGCTGACCACAGGGATTCTACTCAGACAGAGCCCAGAAGCACGCCTCTGGACCTGGGAAAGGAAACACTGCATGCTGGCATATTTATGTTGGAAAAGAGGCAGGCTTCCCTTTTCAAACAAATACAAGATCCCTTCTTAGTAGACAAGGCTCATTGTAAAGCTGTGACCTTGAACTAAGAACAAGCAGTCTGCTTAAAGGAATGATATTTTAGCACTTTGACCTTAATAATCTGCTAAATTAGTATCTAGGTCAAGAAACAAGGACTTAGGGGATATGAGTATCTGACATGATTTATTCTTGTGTCAACTGGGAAAAGGCAGACTGTTTAATTTAAAGCTTTGCTTTCCTTTCAACACTTGGTGACAGGGGACAGTAGGAAAAACTGTTTAATCTAGTTGTAAATGTATTTGCTTTAGACAGTCCACAAATGGTACCAAGATGATGGCGGCATACCTGATAACTAATAGGGTAAAGTTGTAGTACATAAGAAGGATTTGCTATTTGACGCATTTGTTTCTTGGATATTTGTCAGAGATTGGGTGACTAACATGGTAAGTTTTGATTCATGTGTCATGGCTTACATACAGTGCCATTAAACACATTTTAGTTTTCAACTTCATTAAATGGCTTAAGATAATGCTGTGCAAAATAAAACAATTAGATGGGTAAAACAAACAAACAAACAAACCAAAACCAGAAATAATTAGAAGTGTTTTTACTATTTTGTATGAATCCATAGACACACAATGATAACACAATGAATGAAAATGAAAATAAAAATCACCTAGTTCTGAAATCACACATTGTACGAGATTGGACTCACATCTGTCAAGGGCATCCAATTTCAATCCAGTCACAGCTTCTCCAGTCAGTGAGCCCAAGACGTGAGAGCAGATTCTGATTGCGGTCTTTAAATATCTCTTCTCAGAGGTGCTGCCTGTGAGTGACAGAACGGAAGAGAATAGCAGTGCCACGACAGGGGGGCGGGGCAGTGCCAACTACCTAGGGTGAAACAGAACAGAGCAACTATGCAATGGTCGGAGAGGCTGGAGCTTAGGGCTTGAGTGAAAGAAACATTTGTGTCTGATTAACAACAGTTTCAAGGATAGGTGCGGCCAAACATCACACACTTGAATTGACCAGACATAACTGAAGAGGGTGAGAATCATCCAGAACACTGGTTCTCAACTTGTGGGTCGTGACCCCTCTGGAGAGGGTGGGGGTTGCATATCAGATATCCTGTATATCAGATATTTGCATTACGATTCACAACAGTAGCAAAATCACCGTAATGAAGTAACAATGGATCATTTGTCATGGCTGGGGTTTATTACAACATGAGGATTTGTACTAAAGGATCACACACACAGCATTAGGAAAGTTGAGAACCACTGTTCCAGGGAGTTCTAGTTCGAACCTCCTTGGCCTCAGTTTATTTGTATAAGATGCAAAGGGATTAAATATTACTTACTTAAAAGCTCGAGGCTTTTGCTGACATCCTTTAAGGGTTTCCGTAAAAAGTGATGGGAAGGCTGAGAGGGCAAGACCCCTTCACTTACCAGCTCTATGTTATCTGTTCATTGAACAAAAACGCCTTCAACAAGTTCAGTCTTAAGGTCTCTTGGCTCTGTTGTTCCATGGTTCTACTTCTAAAGCCACTTGTTACACTAATGAGAGCAGCATGACCAATAGAGCTGCTTAGAGCCAAGCAATTGGCAGGAAACACTTTAAATGAGAATCTATCATTTGAACAGACCAATTTCTACTGAAGTCATTGCTGACAGCTTACAATAACAACTCCATATTTTCTCCTTTCCTTTATATAAAAGATTACAGCTTTCACAAGACTTTATATCAGTCAGTATTTATGCTGCAATTGACTTGACCAAGGGAGGCAACCATAGTGAAGGTGGAGATGGTAAGCATACGGCAGGGTCCTACTGCTTCTCTTCTTGGACTCAAGGCAGAAATCACCCATCAATCATAAACCCCTTTTCTTTGGAGTCTGAATGAAGCCTATGAATCCCTTTGAATATATCACTTTAGGTGGCCCCGAATCGAAGGGGTCAGAGTCAGCGCTGTGCATGCCATTCCTAACGCGGACTGGCTCTGCCTCTGATGGTTCCCGCTCCGATTCTAGTTCTGCTATCAGCTGTGTAATACGAGGAACTAGAGGTTTCTCACCTACAAAATGGGAACCATCATCATCGTCTTATGGAGGTTTTCCTGATCGTTGTAATTGTTGTGGCTATAAAGAACGTGCAACATATAAATGCTCATGCATTTACTCCATTTGGAAAGACATTGAAATTGCCCCTCCCTCCTTGTCACTGTACCTTCCTAGCAAAAGGGAAGCCCTTTGGACATACTGGAAGGCACATTTTTTTGATGTTCCCTTCTGCTCATGCTTACCTTTGATCCTTAGCCAACTGTACTTTTCATCCTCAGTTCCTGAGAAATCAAGAGTAGGCTTTCTCCATAAGATCTTGATTGTCAACCCCCAGTATCCTATTACTGTAATTTCTAGCACAAACCTACGCAGCAGCCATCCCAATCACGACTAACTAATTTAGACCAGCTGAGTCTTTCTTCATAAATCCAAAGCTCTTCTTTAATTGTGTGGAAGCAAGTTTGAGAATGTTTATATTAACTAATTTCTCCATCTCCACCACCTCCCCATCCCCTTTTCTAGTTAATTTAATGCATAGCCTTACTTAAAGTTTTTTTTTTTCTTCAGTAAATATGAAATTTCTGGCACACACACACACACACACACACACACACACACACACACATTCTTTTAGCATTAAAGGAGACAAAGAGACTGAAGAAACTATCCTCAATCTGAAAGGATGGGTTGTATGTCCCCAGAACTCTATTTACAATACAATCCTGGTGAGACAGACAATGGGACAATGTCTATGGACAATGTCTATTCCTCAACTCGGGTCTCAAAGTTTACCATCCACAGAAAAGGAGTAGATGATTAACAGCACCCCCAATTTCAGCTTAGAAAAGCTAAAATTTCAATCACCCCAATATGAATTTGAATGTTTCATGAAGGACATGTTTAGTGTAGTTTTGAAACTCATCAAAACTCAGCGATGGGCCCTACCCCACCTCCCCATTTTTTTCAAAGTAATAACCTATTGGCCAAGTTCTCCCAGCCACTGTGGTCATCAAAGTTATAGCTTCATAGAGCTCTCCATAGCTCATTTCTGGGAGAAACTTACCCTGTATTGGAAGCAAAGATAATAGTTTGCGATTCTTTTTAAAGAATTAAATTTGGCAGAACAAAGTAGAACTATAATTTTGGGGAAAAAAATCATTAAAGGTTTTATATATTGATGTGGTGATAGATACTTACCAATGAGCATTTGTATAAACACAGTGAATCACACACATAAATGAAACATCTTATAGTGGAAAATGGAGCCAATTAAACTTGACTTAAAGACATGAGCATAATGCCCGGGCCTCAGTCTGCGTCTCTGTACTTGAAGTGGTCCACAAGGTATCTCTCTGCAGGGGCCGGGGAGAGCGGGAACTGGCTGCGCGTTGGACTGCGGTTCTGGAATAGGAAGGGTCAGCAAGCACGTCTTGTTGCCTGTTTTCAGCAGTGTCGAGTTGGTGGACATGATGGAACCCTTCCTCCTGGAAGCCCAGAGCTACTTGCGGGTTAACGAAGACAAAGTTGAGAATTACCACTGCTCCAGTCTGCAGGAGTTCACGCCCCGCTTCGGGAGTTATGACGTCATCTGGATCCAGTGGGTCTCAGGTCAGGCTCCGTGTCATAGCTTCTGCCCTTCCTCCTTTGCAAGCTAGGAAAGATGGCGTAGGGACCAGCAAGATCACAAGCAGGAAAATGGAGCTGTTAGGTGCACTTATAGCACTTTTTGCTAGCTTTAGCTGTCATGTGAATCCCAACAACTCTGTCCCACCAGAGTTCTAACGTTGCTGTACAAGCCTCCCAGTTCTTACCCCTAGGGATAAACCAAGTGCTTGGGAACAACCTACGTCTTTGCAGAAACATAAATACTTAAAAAGACTTAAAAAAATGGGCCCATAAATGGTTAATCCTCATTATTTATTGGTGGAACTAAATGTTCTGAGACTTAAATCCTTAGGAAATGAAACAGCAATGAATTATATTGTGGTGGCACACACACACACACACACACACACACACACACACACACACACACAGAAATTATTGTTGTACAAGAACATGAAATGGCTCCTGGGAAGGGCGGTCATGTCTCGTGCCTCTCAGGTACAAGGTCCAGTTAGCATGATAGAAAGACAAGGAGTTAAAATCCCTGAAAGAGGACTGTATCTTTTTGGTTTCATCTAAATTCTCAAAGTTTTTTGCAACTAAGACAATTCAAGCTATTAAGCAGTTTGTGTGAGTGGACAGGTGGCAGCATCTTGATTCTTAGCCTGGTTTTCCTTTCCAACTCACCTCCCTCCTGCATTCGTTTTCTCTACCAACCTGGCCCCACTTGCAGGGTACCTGACTGATAAGGACCTTCTTGCCTTTCTTTCCCGGTGCCGAGATGGCCTGAAAGAAAATGGTGTGATCATACTGAAGGACAATGTCGCACGGGAGGGCTGTATCTTCGACCTGTCTGACAGCAGCGTGACTCGGGATATGGACATCCTTCGAAGCCTGATTAGGAAGAGTGGACTGGTGGTTCTGGGCCAGGAGAAACAAGAGGGCTTCCCAGAGCAGTGCGTTCCAGTGTGGATGTTTGCGCTGCACAGCGACAGACACTCCTGATCAGCAGTGGGAATGAACGGCCGGGCTGCAGAGTGGTGCTTCAGGACTGTGTGTATCTCCAACGTGCCCTATGTGACACAGAGAGACATGGGAAGAAGGGATACAATGCATGTCTAGAATGGTTGATGATGTAGTGTGTACGATCTGCTGCTGAGGAGCACACTGTGATGTGAGAATCTTTGGATTTATAATTGCTGTAATGAGACAGTCATGGATGCTGTAGATTTTCCGAGACATGGAGTGAAACACCAGGAAGGTACCTTAACAATGTGCTTGTTTGCACCTGCACCGCACACGTGTGTATATGTGAAGACCTGAAAATGAAACAATGCTCACAAATTGTAGTCTGTGTTGGTCACTGATGATTTGTGTTTGCAAATCTATCACAGCATGGGGTAGAAAGTCCTCACTCTTTTCCCTGTCTCCGTATCAGCTACGTTACACTTTTCTTTTTCTTTGCTGCTACAGCTTCTCTCCTCCTAACTACAATGGTACTGGTGTAATAATCCTATGAAAACAAGGCTATTAATTTTGTCTTTAGCCCTTCTTTTGGCAGAAAAAGTATATGGTTTCCCTCTCTATTTTGGGTCAGTTTTACTACCAATGATGTAATACGAATGTAATCTGATAACTGACGCTTGAATTACCATGAGGTAGAAGTGTCTCCTTTCAGGAGAAAATGTTTTACACTGAAATTTCACCTCAACCATATAAGTAAATGTTGTCAATGATCTAATTTTAGCCACTGGCTTTCAACAGCGCCTGCTTCTTTTCCTCTTTGCATATGGTCTTCATTTCTTGAATGAAATGATTGTACCTTGAGAGAGAATTACCAAAAGAAATAGGCAAGCAAATTGGTACTTAAATACTGACTTAGCTGGGTTTAGAAAAGGCATTGGTTTAAATAAAATAATCTATAATTTTAAAAAATAGAAATGAAATTTAGTTTTTATTAGCACAATGTTTAAATATGACTACTTTGTCTTCAAAACACTTTAGCATCTTCATGTTGAAGCACAGTGATGATTTTGACCCTAAAATTGAAAGAATCAATTTAAATGAAGAAGACCTACTGCATGGCTGTGGTACATTGCAAAAGCCTTATTTTAAAAGTCATAGCTCTAGAATAATAGAAAATTGTTATAATATTCTCATAAATGCATCATTGCCTTGGTAGTTTTTATTTTGTACTCAGAAAATTACATCACTTCTGTCCTTGATACCTTATCCATTCATGCACTTAGAATGATGTAGAAGAAAATGAGTCAGAGAACAGAACGAAATCAAGGAGCAAAACTATTACAGAGTACAACAAAACTCAGGTTTCACACTCCAAAAGTTTTGGAACAAATTAGCAATACCTTTATTTGAGGCTGATTTAGGGGATTCCTTTACACCAGCATCTTTTAATTGCTTTATCTCTTAACTTCTACTTTTCCATGATTGACATTTGCCAATCTTCTTTGTGCTTAGTCTTCAGAGCTTATTGTATAAAGATGATTGATTGGCCTATGGTTACCTCTGTTGAGCCTTTGACATTGATAATAAACCTTATCTTGCTGAATCAAATCATTATACATTCTACTTAAAAAATCTTCAGATTTGTATTACCCTGCAAACATTCCTGAATTCTTTGTGCCCTTAATTTAACCAACAAAAAGAAAAAAAAACAAAAAACAAAAAACAAAACAAAAACAAAAATTGAAGGCAAACATTGTCATTAGCAGCCTTGTGTATTGTTAGTAACAGGTACAAGATAAAAACAAGAAAACAGCAGCAACAACAACAACAAAAATAAAAAAGAAAAAGAAACCTAAGAAACCAAAAATAGTAGCATCATGAGACTGCAAGCCAGATGAAGAAGTCTTAACAGGTTGTGTTAAAGTTTGGATATGTTTCTAAAAGAAATAAGCAGAAGATTTTGGAAGTTATAGGCAAGAGTTGAGGCTTGCTTCATCTTTTTGCATAACTTTAGCACCTCTGTTGAGACCTACTTTAGTTTTTAGCATAATTGTAGCTCCTCTGTTGACACCTGCATTCCTCTTTAGCTTAACTGGAGTCATTTTCTCCTTAGTCTGCATTTTGATCATAAGGTAAAACTGAGATCAAGTTCTCAGGCTCTGCCTGCCTGACACAAGAATAGCTTTTATTTACAATTCAATAATTCAGTACTTGCTGCCTAGACTAAAACAGTAGATGATAAGTGCATGTTCTGCTTGAGTTAAAGATAAATGTATGTTCTGTTAGAGTTAAACCACAGCACCTTGCTATGCTCCTTCCTCCTGGAAAGCTGGAAAGTCCCCAAAAGTTCTCCTATCCTGAACCCCAACCAATCAGCTTAAAATGCTTTGCCTAGCTACCTAGATACTATGTACTTGGAACAAAGTTGATTTTCTTGCTTGGCTAGATACGATATATCTAGAATAGAATTGATTCTTCCTGCTTGTTTTTTTGTTTGTTTGTTTTTGTTTTTGTTTTTGTTTTCCTATAAAAACTCCCTTTGAGATTGGCTCACTGTCACAGTCGTGGTTCCTGAATCCAAACTGTGTTTCTGACCAGTCTTTGCTAAGCATTCAATAAAATTCTATTAACCTGAGTCTGGTGCCAGAGTGGTCAGAGTGCCGTTATCCTGAACCTCAACCCATGGAATTTCTTTTTTTGGTCTTGTCAGTTAAATGGAACCAAAGGAAGGAAGACATTTCCAGTGACACCCAGGTCAGCTCCTTCAGTCAAAGAAAGCAATCTAAACAGGCTGCTTGTGTTTATCAGCACATCTGGAACCCAGTGGTCTAATTGGCAGTTTACTTTAGTTCCCAAATACGGATGCATAGGCCAGCTGCCTCCAAATCAAGTGGAGAAATTCATCAGTAGAGGGTTTCCAGCTTCCTCTCCATCAGAGTTTGTTTCTACGACATGGATCAGCTTATTTGCAACTATTTCATAAGTTATTTTAAGTTATTCTAGGAATCGGTTTTGTTTGAGAGCACTGACAGGAAAGGATTCATGAAGCTGGGTTTTTTTTTCACATCGATGCCAATTATCCTGAAATATAATCAGATGATTCCACATATAATCTTTCCATGATACCCCATTACACTCACAACATGGATTTCCAGCTCTTGAGAATGCCATATAATAGCTTCATAATCTTGCATTGGCTTCCATCTCTAGCCCATTTTATCACTCCTCCACAGTTGCACCTATTTGCAATCCCCTGGACCATGATGTATGGCGTAGGGTGTTTGCAGACGTCTCTTCTTTAACATAGAATAGATTGCTTTAATTTTCATCTGTCCCTAAATGCTTGGATGTTGTTGATTTAAAAAACAAAACAAAACAACAGCAACAAAATTTTGTCCACACCTCTCACAGCTGTTGGGCTGTCTTCTCTTCTGTGCTCTACTGTATTTACCATATTGCATCAAGGTGGCATTCACAGTTAGCTGTCTGCTTAGCTTTTTGTCTTAGAGCCTGAGCTCTTTGAGGGGATATTCATAACTAGAGCCTCAGTCTCCGCCAAAGACCCTTCTACACTGCAGAAATGCAAAGCTCTTACGGAAAGCATGTAAGCTGATGTGAAAAAGAAGAGTCAAGGCAGTCTAGGTTTCTGGAAATAACAAACAGGAATTAGAACAAAAAAAAATCAGAGACAATTAAGGCCCTCTGAAATTCCAAAAGAGAAGGTGTACAAGGCTAGTCAAAGCACTGATTAAATAATGCAAGAACCAGAAAGTGCCCACAGATAAGAAAGCCTGGAGCTTGGGAATCAGGCGAAGGGGAAACAATAGTAAGATTAGATCCTGAGACAAATACGCTGCCTAATCAGGGCAGTTTCTGTGTCTGTGTCTCCGAGTGTTCAACCTAAAGATATCCCACAGTTTCATTAGTGAGTAAGGCCTGATAAGAAAGAGATGTGCTAAAATTGTGTGCAGGCTGTAATAAAGCAACCGCCTAATCCTCACTGGTTTCCACTAAGAACATGGCCAAGAAAATGAGGTTATAGATGAAGTTAATGCAGCCCTGAATATTGAATGGAAGTAGAAGGTGCTTGCCTGCACTCCATAAATGAATTAATTTCAAACATGTTTGCCATTCTGAATGAACTTTGGAGGACCCCTCAGTTTATATGGTGATCCATGAAAGGGTGTAATCGTCACCTGCTTCCTCTTTTGAGAGCCTGAAGGACCACTGTTAAGTAACAGCCTAGAAGAGCACCATGTTTTAGGAGCCAGCCATGTTAACGATTTCATACTACCATAAAAAAGAAAAAGGAAATGAAGAGGGTCACCTGTGTAAAAGGTGATCTGCTTTGTATTAGGGGCAAATTTTACTCCCATTTTCATTTTCTCTCGCCATCATTTTCTCTAACTGGCCTTTTTGAGTGATGTGTTGAGGAGAAGCCCTGTGTCTGATATATTCAGCTGCTTGTCATGAGTAATTAAAACCAGTTGTGTTATTGCTTGCCTTAGCTTCAGCTGACTCTTTGATGCTTTGGTGTCCACGCCAAAAAAACTACCTCTTATAATCATCACAGGCCAGGGTTTCTACAGAGGTCACTGCAGGCTAATTAAGCAAATATGTGAAAAAATGGTTTCAAATTATCTCAATTAGTGAGTGTTTATATACAGATACTTAGGGTAGAGGTTGATGACTTTTGAAATAATAACTAATTTGCAGAGCTGGTAACTTGATGTCAGAGAAATCTATGTACTCAGCACCTCTGTGCTGGCATGGTTTGATCTTTGGCTACATAAAAGACATTAGACTTATCTCCACCAAGAAACATGTAAAAGTGTCTAAAGAGATCATAGCTTAGGGGTGAGAAAGACTGAGACACACATAATAATTATTTACGACAAAAAACATTGAACAGTGTGGACAAAGAGTTAATACAGAGAAAAAGATGAACTCGCTCTGTCTCTGGGACTTTAAAAAGTCTACAAAGACTCACTGAACACATTTTTGAATGCCTACCATGTGCAGTCACTGCTCTAAAATCT